GTTGCGATTGTTCGTATTTCGGGCTGTCCGTTGGTCATTTTCGCTCCTTTTTCACATTATATCGCTATTGGTTACTTCCTCTCCGCCATGATCAGCTTTGTTTCGACCGCTTCAACCTCCATCGACACCACCATGAGTGGCTGAGTTCCCGATTGTTTGTTATGGCGTAGGCGAGATCGAGATTGACTTCGTTGCTCTCCTCATTAGCTCTCGACTGGTTGGATGAGCCCGATTGTAGGACATTTGGTAGTATTGTGTTTCGAATTATATTTGTTTTTGTTTCATGTTTGATTTCGATACTTTAATATGGTTTGAGCATAATTTGTGCTGAATATTGTTGTCCATCGTGATTAAATGTTTTCATAGAATTTACTGAATGATAGATATTGGTTTGAGATAATTAAATGATGAATATATTTTTCATTACTTCGCATCGATTGTAATTGAGTGGTGTTCGGATTTAATGTCATTTCTACTATTGTTGCGTTTATTGTGAAGTGGGTTGATTGGATGATACGTGTTGACAAATTGTATTTGTTAATCACATACCAACTAGTGGTATTGTCTTGTAGTGTTTGTGGCCGTCAATGATAGTCTTTAACCAATCGAACTTGAGTGATCGGGTGAGACATGATAGATTATACCTAGAGTGTTAGCAAACCATTTCATTGATTTACCTTGCCTTGTAGGTTTAGGGGATCGTTGAGGGTGGAGGAGAATTGTGTGAGTTAGTCTCGTGTCAGCGGTAACGTTTTTATTATAAAGTCTTCATTAGTTTTAATTTCAAGCTTTTATTATTTGCATTTAGTTTGTTTAGTTTAATTAATCAAAATTGCCTATTTCATTTATGCTACTCAAATACATTAGGTTGTTAGTCTTGCTCTCTGTGGATTTGACCCTGCTTACCACTAACTACGGTATTTAGGTTTAATTTTGTGGCTATGACGACCGGTTCGACCGTAACACATGACTGATATTATTGTTGAACATAGATGGTGTATCATTACTGTTACATTCAATTTTAGAATACATTGAAGAACTCTCTGGTAAGACTTTAGACTCAACAGAATTGACAAAAGAAGTAGGTTATTTTGACAATGAAAAGTGAAGAGACAAAGTAGATGGAATGATCAACTGGTATAACCCTTCTTTAAGTTCTCCTTATAGTAAGACTTTCTTGGTGATTTTGTCCTTAACAACACAACAATTAAGATTAAATTCAACCACAACATTATTATCTTTAGTAAACTTAGAGATGCTAAGAAGGTTTTTAGTAATCCTAGGGACACATAACACATTTTTCAAGAATAAGCATTTAGATTGTAGTTTACTAGGAAGTGAAGTAAAGCCTGTATGAGAAATAGGAAGAAACTCACCATTGTCTACCTGAAGTTGCTCAAAACCTCCATAATCCTTGCTGGCACTTAGTTGGTTGAGATAAGATGTGACAGGGTCTGTAGCTCTAAAATCTATGTATGAAATAGGATCTTGGACAATGGATGAAGAAGTAGTAAAGGTTAATAGTCCACTAACTAGATGTACAAAATAAGAGTAAACAGGAAATGAGTGTTGATCAACAAATGGCATCTGATTCTGAGATTGTGCTAGGTGAGCAGCAAAATGAGCTTGATTAGGTAAAGAAGTTTGAGGCACTTGGTTTTGAGAATTTGGTGCAATGGTCATACTAGGATGATTATAAGATTGTTGTGGTGCTGTAGAATGATTGTAGGTTTGTTGTGGTATGTGCTGATTGAAGTTGTGAGATTGATGACTTGGTATGTTGAAACCACCAGAATTGGAATGAATAGGACTGCGAGGACCAGAATATCCTCCTTGGCTTTGTGAACCAATACTTGGCATGACACCATTATAAGTAGAGTTAAAATGATGATAACATTGAACAACAGTATGTCCTGCTTTATTACAAACTTGACACGTAGGCCGACCTCTACCATGACCTCTTGCAAAGGAATTGTAAAGTGTAGGCTGATAATGTCTAAAAATAGAACCATTAGAGGAAACTTGTTCTATTTTTCCATTAGAGGGAGCTTGTACTATCTATCCAAAATGCACATTGTGTGAGTGTTGTCCCATCTATCAAGTTGAGATTGGATAAGTTTGATTGAAATGAGAGTTCCCAAAGTTGTTCAATGAAGGAAAAAATTTGTGGACAAATTGAATAATCTAGTGGATTCAGTAGAACTAGATTGACGAGTTTCAGATGATGAAGAATGTCTAGTAAAAACTGTTGAAGCAGTATTAACTAAACTATTATGAAAATCAACTAAAATGAATGTCTCTAGTCTGATTTTATATTTTTACGGTAAAAATTGAGCTTCTTGTAGAGAAATTGAATCAATCTTGGACTTTATTCTAGAAGTGAGGTTAACCTCCACTGCATTATACTTAGGACCTAGTCCATCCAATATGTGTTGAAGCAAATCTTCTTCTGATACAATTTGTCCACTGGTTGATAAACTTTTAGCAATATCTTTCATTTTGCTTACATATTCATTGATGCTGAGATTATTATTCTTGTGAGTAGTTTGAAGTAAATTCTTCAGGTGAAGTGCTCTAGCCTTTGAGTCAGGGATGAACTCTTTTTCAAGTGTAACCCAGATTTCATAAGAGAATTGACACTTCGATACTTGTCTAAACATGCTTTCAGAAATTGAAGCAAGTAACTAGCTAACTAAGAACTTATCAGTTCGTTTCCACAGAGGATAAGCTGGATTAATTTTTTCCTTAACAAGATCATCCAATATGTGTTGAAGCAAATCTTCTTCTGATACAATTTGTCTACTGGCTGATAAACTTTTAGCAATATCTTTCAATTTCCTTACATATTCACTAATGCTAAGATTATTATTCTTGTGAGTAGTTTGAAGTAAATTCTTCAGGTGAAGTGCTCTAGCCTTTGAGTTAGGGATGAACTCTTTTTCAAGTGTAAGCCAGATTTCATAAGAGAATTGACACTTTGATATTTGTCTGAACATGCTTTCAGAAATTAAAGCAAGTAACTAGCTAACTAAGAACTTATCAGTTCGTTTCCACAGAGGATAAGCTGGATTAATTTTTTCCTTAATAAGATCATCATCATTTGTATAATCATCTTTATCACTAGGATTATCTGATTTGTAAGCTATCAATGGAGTTGGACAAGGAACCAGACCTGTTACATGATCATCAAGTTCATCATGAGGTCCAATTGCTAAAAGAACTTGATAGTGTCAAAAATGATAATTGTCTCTGGTAAGCTTTGGATTGATAGTCTAAGGACTAGAGGAAACAACAGATGCTAGAAAATTAAGCGAGTTGTGTATCATCATATCAAAATTCATTGATGACTTAAAGCTTTCAGACTTTTCTGACATTTATGTGAGTCAAATTAGCTCTAATACCATGTAAAACTTAGGGTTCGAATTGAGGAATTTGAGAGAAAAATTAGAGAGAAGATGGATATTGGATTTCAGTAGATTCAACAACAACTAAGCTTAATATACAATAGCTGTTTTATAACAACTAAACATAAGCTAAAACTACATCACTTTGCCTTAGACTAAAACGACATCACTTTGGCTTGATTACTCTTAATACAAAAACAACTACATTTTGAGTTACATAGTGAAGTACCTGCTGAAGGTCTTCTTAATAACATGAAGTTTATATTAATCGAAAAAAAGAACCATACACCTAATTTAGGGGACATAATGACTTTTATCCTTCAATTTTTATAATTCAATGAAAACAATATTACAATTATATGATAGTAAAGTAAAAGGAAAAAAAAAAAAAAAAAAAAGGCAAATGAAATACCATACTTTCAAGTCATGCTGTATGAGAGATGAAATTATTTTCTAAGAGAGCGAAAGTAAGATTGAGAGATCTATACATATAAATCATAATTTTCTTGGATAATGGATATATTTTGATTACTTAAGCGTATGCCTTCTCTAAACTCCTGATCACGACGAAAAGAAAGTGATATTTGTTACAAATTTTTACTGAAAGAAATTAATAACAATAAATATAAAATTAATGCAAGTTTTTATTTGCCAAATTCTGAAATATATGTGAACATTATTTGTGATATATGCACTTTCGACAGTTAAGCACAATTGTGATTCTCGTTTGATCGTTTACGCATGTGGAGACATTTCCAGTATATGTATTTGATTACCCTTTTCTCTTTGTACATGTGTCATTATCTAAGATAATTTATATCTTAATTTGCCTTATGAAACTTGTGCAAAAAGTCTCTTTGAAGGTGTCACTCTATTTTTAGAGTGGTCCAAGGAAGTTGGTAAATGTTTTTACATGTGTACGATTGAGATTTGTTTTTGCAAGGATATAAAATGGGTCATCTTCTTCCTTGCAAACTAACCTGGTTTCTGCCTTCTTTTTGCTGTGAATTTTTTCTGAGTATTCTTGCCCAGGTTCATATTGGTTGTTGACTCTATTGACAATCATAGTATCTTTGATCGAGTTATGGGACGATGTTCCATTGATTGAAAACTTGAAGAGAATCAAGTTTTGCAGCGAAACGGAAGAGTTCCGCCATTGAAGCTCATGTGGAGCTTGAACTGACCAAGCCGTGTCTTGGGTGGAAGCTTGCTGTAGCAGAGCACTGAAGGGATTAGAGAGTGGCGTTAGAGTCGTTTAGAACAGGGAGTGTTCTTTCATTGTAGTACTTAACACCCAACTCTGGATTTGCTTGTAATTGTAATTGTTATAGTGGATTGGCTTCTTTTGACGGGTCCCATGGATGTAGGCTAAAATGATTATTAGCCAAACCATGTGAATCTATGTGTGCTTTACTTTTATGCTCATGGTTGGTTGTTTATTTTGTTGAGTTGATGAACATCAAGGAAAAACGTTAAATACCCATTGAAACCCATTCCGCTGTGCATTAAAAGAGTTCATATACTCTTTCAGTTAATATAACAGATAATGCAATCTATAATAAACAACAAATAAATATTTTTATCACTGACCGGAGAACTCCATTTTGGGTAGTACAATTTCATTAATACATCAGATGAAATTACAGGTCGACAGTTGGAAATGACATATACAACTTTATTTCTGTTTCCTAACATTGTACTGGCTTGGAAAAAACCAAAAATGGAATGATGAGGATAATATATCTCTCAAAAGACCATATTGGGACAAACCAAACACTAATAACGATAGAAATACAAATATAGTACCTAAAATAGGGATTGACATCGACTTATAGTGATTATAAGCCAGGTAAAAGCATGAAATGAAGGCTAACATCATGGTTGCTATAGATATGAATAGCGTTAATAGTCCTGTCAACAACTTAATCGGTAATGATTTGAAAAAATCATTTTGTGCATAACGGGATGTAAGAATAGACAAAAACATTAGGATTGAAATCGAAGAGGAGGATAATGCAATTATATCTGCCATAACAAAAATACGGAACACAACATTACCTCGATGGGTAGGTGTTCCTTCCAAATTATTGTTACCTCCTGCATCATTGACACCTCCTGGTAATGTGAAAGCCGCTTAAAAAACCACAGTAGCAATGATTGTTGCAACAAGCATGCATTGACTAGCTGTGTTCCTCATCCACTTTTCTCCATCTTTCTGTAAACCTGCATGTGTACTGGTGAAGAGCTCTCGAGGTGTTTTGCCCTCTGAATTCTTCAATCCTCTAAATGAAGGCATTACAAGCTTTTCTACATCCTACATCATTAATATGAATCATTAATTTTACACAAAGAAGTTGGTAGCTTAATTTTTTAATGATAAATTCATTACTGTTGGAATTCAACTATATTTTTAGTATTAATTTTATTTAAAAAGTCAAATTATAATCATAAGATATATATTTTAATTGAAACTGTAATCAAGAGTCATCAACAATTTGTATTTTCTTGAAGTAAAGGTATATAAATAATTTGTATTTTTTCAAAGTAAAGGTACTTAATAATGATATTTAAATAATAAGACACTAAAGAAACTCTAAAAATATTTACCTCAAAAATGCGTAACTCTCGCTGCATTTCTAGAGCTGCACCTGGCACTGTGCTCAGTGGTCTTGGATCTGGATATTTTGCAGCTAGATGTAATAGACTATTTTCGTTGCTGTCTGAATAGGATGCTACCAACTGTTTGTTGAAACCTATCTGATCTATTAACTTAAACAAATCATCATGACGATGCATAATCGCAATGTGAAATATGATCTGTTCAACATCATCTTTAAGATGAACCAAATCAGGATAAAGTTCGATGAGTTTACCCAAGAATTTGAAGTTCCCCAATTGAGCTGCTTTGAATAATAAATCACGATGCTCTTTTAAGTAATCCCAAATTTGGTCGCGCTTTGCCTTGAATATTTTCTCCCAAAGGCATTTGACTAACGCTAGAGCTTGATTTAACAAATTTGTTTTGTCATTTTCGCTCGTTTGGCCTGTTATCTCTAATATTTTCTCCCAAAGACATTTGACAGACTCTTTACTTCTATTATTTTGGTCCAACAGATGAAAGGGCGTTAAAGCCAACCGATGCAAGGGTGTCAAAAGATCCATGCCATGCTCGTATTCAGTCATAGCCAATTCATTTTCATTAGCATCTTCATCTTCATCTTCTAGCAATTCCCTTGCAAGATCTGAAAAGGTTATAATTAAAAAAAAAAAAAAAAAAAAATAGAGAGAGAGATTGCTTTGATTCATTTACCGAAAAATTCGGAAGTTAACCAAATTACGTCCATCATTATATGTAATTTGTCCATTTACTTATTTTAGTCAAACAGATATTAATTCTATGATGAACTTATCATGTTATGCATTCTATATAAATAAAAAATTTAAGATTAAAATCAAGCAAGAAAAGAAATACGTGAATACTCACCGTACAAAGAAGTATCGATGCTATCAAAAAATAATTGTTTTTTGTCAGCTAATGTCAGTGTTCCTCTATAGTACTCCCAGTATAAATATGACGCCATTTCCCTTTCTCCAAACATCGCAGCTAGATTTAGTGGAGTCAAATTACCGCCACCGCGGATTGTCAACAGGTCTGGGTCTTTATTCAACATTTTCTCAGCAATCGATTTGTTCCCAGCCATAACAGCAAGACAGAAGGCAGTGTTCCCTTTTACGTTTTGCAACTTGAGGTCATCTGGTGCTATCTCACCAATCATTTTCTCAACAAAGTCAGTTTGATTTGCTCCTGCTGCTACATGGAAAATAGTTTCGTGTTTCTCTGTTATTGCAACATTGAATGGGCTTGGTGTTGAAGCGGAGCTTGATGAAGAAGACGCACTTAATGAGCTTGATGAAGAATCACTGAGCAGAGGATTATTGAACAGACTTTTAACCGCATCAATATTTCCCTCTATTGCAGCGTTAAAAAGATCCAAACGCAATTCTTCCTTACGTGGGTTCCGATCTTCAAATTGAAAAATAATTTGGATGAACATTACATATGAAATTAAAAAGTGTCTCATTGTTTTGAGAGAAAGCTAACCAGTCAACAAATGAAGTGAAGGTAACCACTGAATATTTTGTTCACATCGTTCCAGATTGTGCTGCTGCTGATTAATATCTATTGGAACTTCCGTTGATTCATGATTTGAATTCCCACTTCCAGGGTCCATTTCTCCTGAATAAAGGGGATCGATTTATTTTTGTCATAAGATATGCTACAAATACACATATGATGATATGATATTCATTGGTTAGACGAAGTGCCTCTCCCTTGAATTCTAATTATTTTTATATTCTAAACAGTGCGAATCCTTATAAACGTAAACTAAAGCAAACCTTATAAGTTCTACCCCAATACATAAATTTCAATACATACTTACATATAAACTAATTTAAAAAAGCATTGTCATGTAAAAAGCTGTGCAATTTTTATCACTTGAGGAAATAAGAATGCTTAGAATAGTAATAATTTAATTAATAATTAATACTAAAATTTATTACCCATTCAAATTAACTAATAAAAAAGTTAATAAAAATATGGTTAAAATTATTCATTTTTAAGAAAATACCTTTTAAGAGATGAACACCTTTTTATTTGCTCATTTTCATAATACTATTTTTAGACAAACATATTGAATACTGAAAAATGAATTTACAAACAAATAAACTCTTAAAAGACAAAATTTCAAGTATTCTTATCAACTTAATTTATAAAGTTAATTCGTTCATTGATGATTTGATGACCAAATATAAAAAGATACGTAAATGAAAAAATTTAACTGGAGACATCTTAAAATTTATATATATGTGTGTGTGTGTTTAAGTAACACTAATCCTCCCTTTCTCATTTTTTTTATTTTTCTCTGACGTCTTTCTTCTCCTTTCTTCTTTCTTGTTTATTTTTCTCTCTTCTTCTTTTTTTTTTTTTTCCTTTTCTTTTTCTTCTCTGCCGCCCCTCTTCTGCTTTCTTTTTCTTCTCTTTTCTTCTTTCTTTTTCTCCTCCTTCTCCTTCTCAATCCCTTCACTCCTCCAAGATCCAATCTGAGCAAGACCACATCTTGCCACTATCTGGCCACCCCTTGCCTAGATCGTGTCGGTATGATCCAGTGAAGCAGTGGCCAGATCATGGTCGCCCGGTCTGTTCACCACTACACTACCACAAACTTTTTTTTTTTTTAAATATATTTTGCATATTTAGTTTTTGAGCTAAGAACTCAATAGATTTTATAAATTATAAGTTTTGTGTTAAATTTTTGGAGAGTTTGAATTATAAATTTTCTTGATTTGGTAAGTAGTTGAGGTGTGGTTGTGGAAAAAAAATTGAGAGGAATATATTTTGGTGAGGAAAATTTTGTTTTGGATGGGAATAAAATGATAACAAAAGAAAGAGGAAATTTTAGGGTGAATTTGAAAATTTTGATGGGGGTGAAAACAATATTTTTATAAATTAAGGAAAATTTTATTTCATATATGTAAATTTAAATACTTTAGGCCAGATTATTACATTTTGGTTAAAGGGTAATAAGGTCATTTCAATAAAACGGTTATTAACAGAGTGAGGGTTTCTTAATCAGGACAATAATTTGAGGTGTTAGATTTTTTGATGGCTGAGATTCGTTCGTATTAAAATTAGTTACCATACAAAATTCATGGGAGAGAGAAGGGGAAAGAGACGAGGAGAGAGAAAGTGAAAGAGATAAGGCGAGATAAATTTTTACAACCGTATATCAAATTTAAAATCTTGGTGATAAAAATTCTATATATAGCATCTGTGTGTGAGAGAGAGAGAGCTGACCAGGAGGCACAATATGGCTTGTATTTGGTTCTGAAGATGATGGCCCAGCATCTTGTGGCAGCACATCAATAACTTGCATTTGTATTTCAGGAATTGAACTTCCATTTGTCGGCTCCATGTCTCCTGAACAAATGGGATTTATTTTTCGTTATAAGACATGCTATAAATACAAATACAATCTATATATTCATTCATCGAATTCTAAATTTTTCCCATGCATTTCCACATCTAATTGTGCATGAATCCTTATAACATACCATCTTATTTTATCATCTGACTTTAAATTTGAGACATGACATTCTGTTGATAGTTGTTTTAGGAGAGAGAATTTAAGAAATATCATTAAATACATCTGCCTTTTAAACCAAGTTTTGTCTACTAATAAATCTACACCATTTAGACTAATATTAGACATAAAAATTGGTATTATTCATGAAGACAGTTGATACAAACTAGCTAGAGATTGATTACGAATAGAATAATAGTTCTGCATACAAACTGCCTCTAAACTCAATAAATTAATTACAACAATAAATGAGTTACACCATATTTGTTTCTATGCAACAACTAAAATTATATATTTAATTCGCACATTGAATATATATATATATATGCATACATTATTTGTACATACAATGATAATGATTCTGAAAAACTGATGGGAGATACCTCAGGTGAAAGGTTGATTGCAGGCAAAAATATCTGAAGGGCGCTTGTTGGCAGATGAATTTCGGAAGACTGACCTTGACTACAATGCAGTACTTTGCACAAAACTTGCATACTATGTCTCATATATACAATTAGTTCAGTCTCAAAGGGATCCATAGAAAATATGTTTAAAAAGGATTAAATGCTAAGTGCAAGAACACAAAGGTTCAGAGATTCTTTGTTTTACACACCTTTTATCACCTAATGTAATTAAATAAAACCTCTTTTTAGTGGTAATGCGGTGGTAGGAATGGCCACTATGAACTGATAAATCATACCTATATCTCCTTAGTGATTAGGAATAAAGTGAAGAACATTAATTAACTAAGATATATTAATTAAACCCATCTTCAGTGGTAATAATTTGATTAAGGATGCAACTTTAGCAAAGAAAATGCCGCGTATTGACTTGGAATTCGTTTGGTCTTTAGACGGATTATCATGATATTCTATATCCTTTGTTTTAAGCTTTTTCAGATTTATTTATTCATGTAATTATAGTCCTCATCAGTGTCGATATAAGTTGACAATCACAACCGATTCATGTAACAGGACCATAATTTTGATTCTTCTAGCAAATTAATCAACTATTACGATGAACTAATTAATTGCTAGGGTTTTCTTAATAATATTTTTATAATTATATAAAACTATTTTTTTTTTTTTTTTACTTAGTTAAGCTCCATTTTGAAATATAAATTATTTAATTGATTTTTAAAAGAAAAAGATTGAGATAAATGTACCATGAGCAACCATTTAAAAATATAAAGACCAATAAAAGCATAATGTCAGCTTTTTAGTTCTGTAAATTAAGACTCCTCGTTATTCTCATATGCTTTTCACATCACCTTCTGCGATCTTACTTAAACGAATTAAAAATTGTGAACCCACAATAAACTAATTGTTGATCGAATTAACAAAGAACCCCACCGTAAAGAAGAAGAATTAATATTCTATAGATCCATGATTTCTGTATTGTATATGAATTACTCAAAAAACTAAGTCCAATTAATCTACTATTTTTACACATGACGAGAACATTGAATTTAACATTTTAGATATTCTAGAAGCTAGTTAAACCAATCAAAAGAGGTTAAGGGTCATGCTAAATAATGGGATTCGAATTACTGTAAGTATTTTTGTTAATTTATGAAGATGTGTGTGCACATTCATTCCTAATGTTTACACATTTATTTGGCTAAGTACAATCGTATTTGTAATTTACATATGTTGTAATATATTGCATAAATGTGTACATATTCCGTTAGTCTGAACTTATGGCAAATATGTGTGCACATTTTACTTAGTTTTGTAAATATTTTTTCTAATCAAACCTTTTAGCATAGGTGTCATGTTTTCATTGCTTGTTAGGATATTTTACAGTTCTGAAATATGTATGAGATGTCCATTTACAGGTATCCGATGTTTTAGAAGTGGTCCTAGAAAGTTGTTGTGCTTTTTCATATGTGGCCTGACAATGTTTTTGAGAACTTTCCTAAAATAGCCCAACATGTGTAAGCCTTTATCGGCTAAGTGTGCTAAGGGTTTGTTGAGCGAGGCTTATTTAAGATCTTCTTCTTTCTTGCGTTTTTCTTTGAACCTAGATATTCTGTTTTGTTCTCTAAAAGTTCTTAGAGAGTTTATTCCTTTGGCCAGGTTCCTTATGTTGTTTGATACTCAAAATACTTTGATTATCTTTTGTTGTTGAGTGTTTGTTGGAACATGGTTCCTTTGATGAAAGCTTGAAGGGAGTTCAAGCCGTGGAGCTGAAAGTAGATTTTGGCATTTGAAGCTTGAGTGTAGCTCAAGCTATCCAGGTGGTTTCTTGGACTCAAAAAATCCGTAGCTGAGCGTTGGAGTAATCAGAGGGTGGAATTAGAGTCTCATAGAGCAGGGAGTTGTTTACATTATTGTAATTAATTTCAACTCTATATTGACTTGGAACGTGTTTGCTATAGTGTATTTGCTTTGTCTGAACATGATCCCATGGATGTAGGTTGTTAGCCGAACCATGTAAAAATGCTTGAGTGCTTTACTTTCTGCTTATGTTTGATTTTGTGTTTAAGTTGAATGCCTTTTCCCACAAACCCTAGTAAACAGAATCAACCCATTCTGCAAATGTTTAATAAACTTGATTAAACATAAACTTTCATTTCGTATGACAGTAGATTCTAAAGAGTTATTTTAGTAGGTCTTTTTTTTATATTATTATTTTGTTTGTGCTCTATTTTTGCTATCATTTGGATCTGTTTGTATTTTTGCCATCTTTGACATGATTTGTTCATTTTTTTTTGTGTGTTCACTTTTGTCCTTGTGTGTTAAGATGATTCTATTTAGTGAAGGAGGTTCCACTCATAGACCATCCATGTTAGAAGGACCAAACTACCCATATTGGAAACCAAGGATACATGTCTTCTTAAAATCAATTAATGAACATATTGTGCATAGTGGGAAAGCCCTTATGATTGTTGAGGATGATGAGACAAAGCCTAAACCCACTGATGAAGGGACTAAAGATGAATTGGAACTTGCTAACTTTAATCTATTACTGTCCATCAAATTAAAATCATTGCAAATTGTGAAGTAGCTAAAGATGCATGGGATAAGCTTCACATAAAAAATGAAAGAACTGATGTTGTCAAGAAGACAAGGCTTAGGAGACTTGTCACTTGGTTTTGAAAATTTGACTGTGCATGATGATGAAACTATCACAGATTTTCATCAGTGTAGGATTTGTGATGTTTCTAATGAGTGTTATGCCTTGGGGAAAATTTTACACTAATGCTAAACTTGTCAGGAAAGTTCTATGCTCATTGCCCAAGAGGTTTATGTCAAAGGTGACCTCCATTGAAAAGTGTCATGATGTGGACTCCATGGACCTTGATAAGCTTATTAGATCTATTCAAACTTTTGAGCTCAATCTAAAATGGTGGGACAAGCAGAAATCAAGTAAAGGTCTAGCTCTAAAGCATGAGGTAAATTCTAATCCCCTTGAAAATGTTGGTGAAAGTGATTTGAGTGATTGTAAATGTGTCTTACTCACAAAAAAAATTTGCCAATTTTTTTAGGAAAACATGAAAAAACTAAATGTGGCCAAAAAAGGTAAACAACCTTTTGTGAAAAAATTTCTAATCAGCTTATGTTTGGTGTGTTTTAGAAAAAGTTTTGAAAAGAAAATGAGAATAAAAATAAAGGCAAAAGTGTTTTGAGTGTGAGGATTATGGGCACATCCAATATGAATGCGTTAACACCTGAAGAAAAAGGGTAAAGTGATGGCTGCTACCATGAGTGAGAGTGAGAAAGATAAGTATAATGAGAATGAATTTTTTTTAGCCTTTATGGTTAATCAGGAATATAGTCCTCTGATGATTCAAATGATATGTATACTGAGTAACAAAAAGCCTATGATAAAATGTATAAATAATGGTTAAAAGCAATCAAGAAATTGTAGCCTCTTGAAGCTGAAAACTCGACCTTGTTGAAAGGAAGAAAACCTTGTTTGACAAAGTTTTGTCCTTAACTTTTGATTTAACCAACAAAGAATTGTTGTTGGATCAAATATTGATTGACCTAACTAAGGCGAAGACCATTGTTGAGAAGTTGAATGCAGATAAAAGCAAGCTTGATGAAGTGCTTGGGCAAGAAAATTGTTTAGAGAGGGATCTGGTGTGGGATTAACTCTAGGTGCTAGCACATCTATGTTTGGTGTGCGCACATTTGTCAAAGCCATAGAGTCTGCTGTTGTTATTGATATTGGTAAACAAGTTGTGAAAGTAAATAAATTTGTTCCTATTTGTCACTTTTGTAATACGAAAGGTCATATCAGACCTAAGTGTTTCAAGCTCATTGCCTATTTGGAAAAATGCCTTGAAAAACATGACATGTTTTCTCATGTAACAACACATGCAAAGATTGATTTTTATTCTAAAAAGGTTTGAAAAACTAAGTCTGGTGTAAATTGTTTTGTTGCCCATACCTCCTTGCTTGTCTTTCAAAATGATTAATGGTACTTTGGCAGTGGTTGTTCTAGACATATGATAGGTAACAGATCTCTTTTGGCTAATCTAGAATTCCTTGATAATGGTCATGTTACCTATGAAGATGGAATGAAAGGTAAAATTCTTGGTAAAAATTCAATTGATATACCTGGATTTCCTATGTTAAATGATGTCTTGTGTGTTGATGAATTGAAAGCAAATCTAACTAGCATTACTCAGATCTATGATAAGATTTTTGTTGTGCAATTCTCTAAAACCAATTGTCATGTCTTGAATAGTGAAAGCGTTTCCTTGTTAGAAGGAAAGAGGTCAAATGCTAATTCCTATCTGTTGACTAATCAAGTTTCTTGTTTTAGCACAAAAACAAATTGTGCTGATTTGTGGCACAAGAAGCTTGGACACATGAACTTCAAAGACTTTTGTGAGACTTTCCAAAAAAGATGTTGTAAAAGTTTTGCCCAAACTTGAATTTACAAAAGGTAAAGTTTGTGGCCCTTGTCAACAAGGTAAGCAAACAAAGATCTCACGCAAATTTTTGTCTCATTTAATTACCTCTCGTGTTTTGGAATTGCTTCATATAGATATTATGGGTCCAGTGCAAACTGAAAGCATTGGTGAGAAGAGGTATGTTTATGTTTATGTGGATGAATTTTCAAGATATACTTGGGTTGATTTCTTAGAAGAAAAATCTAATGCTTTTCAAGTCTTGGTTAAGAAAGTGCAACTTGAATAGACGTGCTTGGTGAAGAAAGTTATAAGAATTAAAAGTGATCATGGGAAGGAGTTTGAGAATGCTAACTTTGCTCAGTTTTGTGACATGCAGGGGGTTAAACATGAATTTGAGGTCCAAAGACACCACAACAAAATGATGTTATGGAAAGGAAGAATAAAGTGCTGCAAAAAATTAGGAGTGTGCAAAAAAAAATGGTTAACCGAACCGAACACGCTAACCGAATCGAACCGAACCCGAACATTCAGGTCGGTTTCAAGTATTTATTATGTGATACCCAAATTTTCGGTTCGGGTATCGGGTAGTTATTTTA